TTTGGGTTATTTGGGAAGTGGAAAAAATGAAAAGAAAAACAAAATAACCATGTCTTCTCTTGTGTTTTATTGAACATTTTTGTTGCCATACTGACAATTCTTTCATCTCCAATATTTTTTCAATGATGGCAATCAGTCTTTTTTATTTGCAAAACGACTACTATGATTATCTAAATGAAGGAAATTCTAACAATTTTACATAATATTCAACCTGAACAAATACAGTCATAAGCAGAAGAGACTGAAAATCTCTGACCTAATCCAATTTGTTCAAGCATTTTTCTTGCTCATTCACTACTGTAACAAACTGATTTATTTTAAAGTTATTTTTCTTCCTGTCCACATTAACTTTCATAAATGAAAAACTGAAATTTCAATTTTCCTCCAGGGTTATTTTTTTAGACTAAACTCATTAAGTCTCTAGAAAAACTACTATGTATAATTTATGTAATTAATGGTCAAATGTACCATTTTCTTGGAATTAATGGCACCTTGGCAAATCCATGCAAACACTAGGCATATAACAACCAGAGAAACATTCTAAAAATGTTAAGTGTCTCAGGCCAATACTTCATAACAGAAAGAGAAATCCATGGATAAATAAGCATACTCCTATGAAAGATCACTTTAAATGATGAAGGTTTCATAATATTCTGAATATGAAAAGAAGCCACTATTTAGAGAGAAGAACATAAGTGGCTGAAGTTATTCCTGTACTCCTAAATAAGAAGACAACTAGGGGGATTGAACACTGGTAATGAAGTCAGTTGGGGCAGCTAGATGATGTGTGTGTGTGGTCAGAAGCGCTTGGCCTGGAGTCAGGAAGACTCATCTTCTTGAGTTCAAATCTGGCCTCGGACTTAGTTAGCTGTATGACCCCGTGCAAGTCACTTCACCTTGTTTGCCTCATTTTCCTCATCCGTAAAAGCAAATGGCAAACCACTCCAGTAACTTTGCCATGAAAAGCCCAAAAGGCTTACAAAGAGTTGGACACAACTGAAACAGCTCAACAACAACAAAGTATCACTGTGAATCTGTTCCAACAAACATTGACAACAATAAAAGAAGATGAACTTGACTATCCATTTCTCTTTAAAAATATTCTCTTTAATCACCTAGACACTGAGGAGCTAACGATGACAGCAAGATTATGAGCCTCCGTGAGTGGGAGAATGGTTGTGTAAAGTAAAAGAGTAAAAGAGAAGACTGGAAGAGGAAGTGTTTGGGGGGGGAAATAATGAATTCTGAACATGTTGAGTTTAAGATGTCTAAGGGACACCCAGTGTGAGGTGTCCAAAATTATTACTATTATTATTATTGCTATAAATAATAACAATAAAATGTACTTAGCACTTTAAGTTTTTAAAAGTATTTTACAAATGTTGTCTCATTTAATCCTCATAACAACTCTGGGAGATAGGTGCTATTATTATCCTCATTTATAGATGAGGAAACTGAGGTAGCAAGAGGTTAGGTGACTTGCTCAAGACCACAGAGCAAAATGAAGTTGGAGATGAAAAACTGGAAGCAAGTTGATAGGTTAGGGCTAGAAAAATAGATCTGATAATCATCTACATGGTAAGGATGATAACTTCCATTTATGGCAACTGATGAGATCATCAAGTGAGATAGTAAAGAGGAAGAAGAAAAAAGGGACCAAGACTTAAGGCTGGGCAAAGAAGGAAACTGAAAAGGAGTAGTCAAGACAGATAGAAAGAGAATCAAGAGAGCACACTGTCATGAAAATTATCGAGATAATCTATTTATTACATTATTATATACAATTATACAACCTATAGATGTCAAAGACAGGGCAGTTAGGTGGCACAGTGGATAGAGCATTAGACCTGTAGTCAGGAGACTTGAATTCAAATTTGGGCTCAGACACTTAACTAACTGTATAACCTTGGGTAAGTCATTTACCTGTTTGTCTCAATTTCCTCATCTGTAAAATGAGAAGAATAATTAGTACCTACTGCCAGCGCTGTCGGGGGGATCATATGAGATAATGATTTTATAACACTTGACACAATGTCTGGCAAATAGTAAGTATTATATAAACATTTTATTATTATTATTTCACTGTTATGTGAAATGTATTTCTGTACCCAATTCTGTGGGTGTCTTGAGTATTCTTTCCTATTTTGATCAGTTCAGAAGAGAGTGAGGTTCAAGTGTCAGCGTCTCTGCCTCACCCCCATCTCTTTGTAGAGTTGTCTATTTGATTATTTGAGAAATTTTCCCTAACCCTCATTTTCCTTACTTCCCATACTATTCCCCATACCTCTCTTTCCACTCTTACCTTAAGATAATCATGACATAACAGAACCATTCACAGGCCTTCTTTAATTAAGCTTCCTTTACGTATGACTCCTGATATTAAGGTTTATAGAAAACATATTCATCATCTCCCCATATCTGGCTGTAAGAAATAATCTTTAAGACCTTCCTTTAAGTTCAATCATGTTTACCTCTTTCTGTTTCTCTTCACTCCAATATTTATACTTCAAAGTTTCCCAGCAGCTCTAGTCTTTTCATCAGGAATACTGGGATGTCCTCTGTTTTATTAACAGTTATTTTTTTCCCCTGTAGAATTATAGTCAGTTTTGCTGGGTAAGTCATTCTTGACTGTATGGCCATATTCTTTGTGTTTTGGAATATACTATTCCAAGTTCTCTACTCTCTTATAGTGGTAGATGATAAATCATGTATGATCCTGACTGTAGTCCCTTGGTACTGGAACTCCTTCTTTCTGTCTGATTGGAGTATTTTTTCATTGACTTTTGATTTGGATTTTGGCTACAACATTCTTGGTAGTTTCATTTTGGGGTTTCTTTCAGAAGCAGTGACCAATGGACTTTTTTTCTATTTCTACTTTGCCCTGGGATTCTAAGCAATAGAGGCAATTTTCTTGCTTTGTAGTGTTTAAGTTTTCTAACTTATCATGTTTTTCTTTTGGGAGATAAAATTCTTAAGTTGTCTCTACACATCTTGGTATTAAGATCTACATATTTGCTTAAATGGAGATCATATTTACTTCTAATAACACTGTTTTATGATTCTCCAGTTCTAGACTGTCCTTCACTTTTATGTAACAGCATTCTTAATCACCTTCTCTCTTTTCTTTAAGGTTTGCTACTCTGGATTCAAGTTTTCTATTTTGTCAGTTACTTGTTTTGAAGGCCATAAACTCTACTTTCACAATTTTCATTTATCTTTCAAACCATTCAGGAATATTTTGTTGTCATTCTAAGCTCTCTTCATAATCTAAAAATTCCTGCGCCTAATCAAATGTTCATTCATTTTCCTGTCTTGAAATATTTATTTATGAAAGCCTAGCCTCTGTTATCTGATCTGGAGGCAATATTCCCTTCTGTTATTAGAATCTTCCTTGTTGGTTTATCTCCTTTTCTTCTTTCATCACACGAAGTCCTTCTGTCCATGTCAGGAGTCATACTCTTACATGTAGGTCTAAAGAAATATGATTTTCAGTTGCTGGAAAGATATCTTGGGATTTGGGGGCTAGATTTTTTAAAATTTCCTGTTTATTTTATCTTTAAAAAAAAACTGGAACAATGATTTTTTTGAAATATTGATCTGGGAAAAACAAAAACAAACAAAAAAACGCCGGCTCATTGTGATTCAAATAGAGGTACTTGGCTACTCCTTTGAATCCAAATCACTCTGGCTTTCACTGAACAGCCAATCATAGGTATCAGCCCAAGTCTCTTTAGCTCACCGTTTGGGTTTGAAGATCTCAGAGTGAGTGTAAACAGCAACTATCTTCTGTACTGGCCAAAACCTCAGGAGGTCTAGAGCTCCTAGACTGATTCTTCTGTGATGACAAACTAGGACATCTTTTGTCTCAAATCTTACCTAGGCCTTAATCACTGAATGGGTGTTGCTTCAGACAACTTGAGACTTGGGAAGAACCTTAGCTTAAAAAGGCCAAGGTTGCCCACTGCACCTTGTGCCATTACTCGTCTTCTTGACTTTTGTTTTGCCACTGGACTATAACGACTCTGGAGGACAGAGTAAGGCTGATGACTTTGCACAGTTCTGCCTCACTTAAATCCAATTCATGCACAAGTCAAGACAGCACCCCCGAGGTATCAGTAGTCCTCTTCCAAAAGGAAGGATCAACAACAACAATAAATAACAAGAGCACAAAGAACAAGCACAGCTTTGAAGAAGAGAAATAAGAAAACACTAGTGGGTTCCTGGGTATGAAATGCTGCATATCAGATTTTTTTCAATATATTAATTGGTTTTGCTGATTTTGTTTTCTTCCCCCTTTTCCCTTTTTTCTTTTAAAATTATTTGTTATATAGAATGGCTCACTGCGAGGGAAAAGGGAAGAGATACAGAGGAAAATTTAGCAACGTAAAAACAAAAAACAATAAAAAAATTTTTTAAAAAGATGATTAGTGTTCAGAAATAAAATGAGTCCTTTCATACCACTTAGATCACATACAGAATACTATGTTCAGTTAGCCCAAAATGTCTAGCTAGTCTCAGACTAGACTAGGCTATGCTTCACATTCTATAAAGCAGATGTCCTAGTCATCTTCTTGTGATGTACCTCCTGGAAGAATAACGTGAATTCCTTGAGGGCAGAGACTTTCAAGTTTGTATCAAACTTGTATCAAACCAAAGTTTAGCATACATTAAACATTTTTATGGTTTTTTTTGGTCGTTTAGGCAGTTGGGGTTAAGTGACTTGCCCAGGGTCACACACCTAGTAAGTGTCTTTGGTCTGAGGCCGAATTTGAACTCAGGTCCTCCTGACTTCAGGGCTGGGGCTCTATCCACTGTGCCACCTAGCTGCCTCCAGCACTATCATTTTCAATTAATTGCAAAGGACAAGGACAGTATTAGTTAATTAATATTAACAAAGAAAAAAATCTAAAATATTTATTAGAATTATATGGTATTTAAATATCAAAAGCAGCCAATAACCTAAAATTAATTCAAATTAAGTGAGATTTGAAAGCACCAACCTTGATAATGCAGGAGCTGGCACTCCCCGCGCTCGCATTGGTGGTTTTCCACGAACAACAGGAACATCTGCATTTTCTGAACCACCATTCAAATATGTCAATTCTTGGAGCTGCGCTTGCCTGATTTCATCATTATAATCCTGAATAAAAGAGAGGTTTAACAAATTATGTTTCTGTTCACTTTTACTGTGAGAAAGACGTAAAAAAAACTTTTGCATATATTAAAAGACAGTAAAATACAATAACAAGTCATTAACACAATTTCTAGTGAAATGAAAAAATTCTACATTATAACTTGCAAAACTAAACCCTTCTTAAATATGCCATTCTGCCTTGCTTTGTAGAGCTCCTTTATCTTATAATTTTGAAATCAAACACCCCTAACACTACTCATACTTTGCTCTGGCATTATGTGTATTCTCTTTTGAGAATTTTACATTGCATAGATGAGCATCTTGCCCTAAGTAGCAGGGCAGAGTGAATCCTGGGATTTCAGCTTAACTCACAACTATAAAGAGTTTTCTTCAAGGTGGATTCCCATGGAGGAGGAGCTATCTGGTTGTGAAGGGAGATAGATGAGGAATTGGTAGTTTAGTTTGGATTAAGTTTGTGAACTGAGTTGCTGCCTTCTCTAAGACAGTACTCTATCTCCATGGGTATCATCTAGACTAAAGTAGGCTTTAGACAAAGGGATATTTGAGTTTCCAGGTACAGCTGAAACACGGAGTTGGGGAGACACTGAGTCAACGAGAGAATGGTAGGACCTCTGGGATGATATTAATCATGGTGAGGAAATAAGAGGAAAGGGAGAAGAAACAGCCTCATGATCTAAGTCACAGTATATGGCATTGCCATGAAAAGATAAGACCTACAAAGACAACATACAAAATGGATACAAAAGGGTGCTCAAATTTGATATTTCAGAAGGTTTAACTTCATGACAAATAAGAGAAGAACATATAAGGCTATAATCTAATTGGTACTGGTTATAAAACAAAAACAATTTGGCTACTATAGCAAATTAGATACATACAGAAGTAAACAAATACAGCAACCAAAGGTTTGATAAATCTATAGACTCCAGCCACTGAGTTAGGGACTTACTATCTGAGAAAAACTAAAGGGAAAATTGGAAATCAGTTTGAAAGAAGAGTTGGTTTAGACCAACAATCTCATACCATAGACCATGATGGATTCCAAATGGATTCATGACCTAATTATAAAATGCCACATCTTTAAACAAATTAGAGGATCAAGGAAGAAATTGCCTTTTGGACAAATGGATGAGGGATAAGTTGATGACCAAAAAAAGGATAAAGGATATTATAAAAGATAAAATGGACAATTTTGGTTAGATGAAAAATTTTAAATTTAGGGTCTTCCCCCCCAACAAACAATTCCAATTCAGCTAAGATTAGATGCAAAATGGCAGAGGGAAGGAAATCCTGGCAGCAATTTTCTTTGATATAGGTGTCATTTCCAAAGTATCTAAGTTACTGACTCAAATATAGAGGAATAAGAGCCATTCCTCAACTGATAAATGGTCAAAGAATATAAATAGGCAATTTTCAGTGGAAGAAATCCAAGCTATGTATAGCCATATAAGAAAACATTCCACATCACTAATGATTATAGAAATGCATATTAAAGTAATTCTGAGGTTCCACCTTATAATCATAAGATTGGCAAAGTTGACATCAGAAGGAAAATACCAACTCTAAAAGGAACTACAGGAGTAAAGATTAAGAAGACTCGGAAAATCATAACGCTAGTTTATGAGTGCTTTTAAAAGCCAGACAGAATTCTATATTTGATCCTGCAAGTAACAAGGAGCCACAGGAGTTTAATGAGTCGGGGAGGGGTTGGAGCCACAGGGAAGGGAAGGCTGACATACATAGTAAGACTTATGTTTTAAGGGAAATCCCCTTAACAGTTTAGTAGAGGATGAGCTCTGGAGTGGGAAAGACTTGAGATAGTGAGAAAGCTATTGCAAGAGCTAGTCCAGGCATGAGTTAATATGGGTCTGTACCAAGATGGCAACAATGGATTATGTGGAGTGAGAATAAGAAGGGGAGGATGACACTGAGATTACAAGCTGTTGTGATTAGCATGATGGTACTGACCTTAACAAAGAGAAGGGAAAGGTGGCAAGGTTCCCCCCCTTGGGGGAGGGGTAATAATAATTAGTATTTTGGACATGTTGCTTAAGATATCAACTAGACATTCAGTCTGAGATGTCTAATAGGCAGCTGAAGATATCATACTGGAGGTCGGGAAAAAGGTTAGGATGGACAAATTGATCTGAGAAATATTTGCAGAGGGATGAAAATTGAATCCATAGGAGGCAATAAGATCATCAAGTGAAAAGGTTTAGAATAAAAAGAGAAAATGATCTAGGATTTGGGGGACACCCAAACAATTTAGGAAAACAGCCAATAGATATTAGTCTATAAGTAGCAAACAGCAGCAGAACAAGAGAGGAAATAACATGTTTGTCTTAAAGAACCATTTGTGTGTGTGCTTGTGTTAATGCCTGCACTTTTAGAAAGTTCTCTAAAGCCAGTTTTAAATACATCCTGGTATGATTCAGGTATATTTTTGGTTTTGAGAGTTTGTAGAAACACAGAACCTGGATGAAGCTCTAGCCAAAGGAGACTGGGAATGATCATACATGTGAGAAAAGAAATGAGAGAAGTGACAGGAAAACTTAAAGGAAAGTGCATCAAGGAGAAGCGGGAGATCAGCATTGTCAAAGGTTATGGGGCGGGGGGAGTCAAGAAGGATGAGGATGAAAAAAAGGCTATTACCTGAGAAGAGATCACTGGTAACTGTAAAGAGAGCAATTTCAATTTCAATGAAGTCAGAAACGTGACTGCAGGTGGGTTCATACATAAGTTAGAGGACAGGAAAAAGAGTAATCACTTGTAAACAGCTTAAACAAATTTAGCCATGGAAAGAAGATGGCGTATAGAAAGAGAATGGGCACGGGCACATCAAACAAAGGTTTTTGTTTTTCTTTTTTTAGCTAGGGACATGTTTGTATTTGTAGGCAGTAGAGAAACAGCTAGTAAATAAGGAAAGATTCAAGATTTGTCAGAATAGGGAAGGCAGAGTTAACAACCTTCTGGAGAGGGATTTAAACCCTGGCAAAGAAAAGAGCTACCTCTACATGAGACTAGGGCAAAGCAGACAATGGGAGAAGACATGTGAATGATACGAAATAAGGAAGAGGAAAGAAGAGGGAGCTCTTGATTAATGGCTTCAATTTTTTTCATTGAAACATGAAGCAAGATCTTCAGTTGAGAGTTTGAGGGGAAGGGTTCCGTGGTAGATTTGGCAAGGAATGAAAAAATTCCAGAATAGCTACCGTGGTGAATGAGATGGTAAATTTACTTCTTGTTGTTCAGTCACTTTTCAGTCATGTTCAACTCTTCATGACAACATTTGGGGTATTCTTGGCAAAAATACTGGATGGTTTGCCATTTCCTTCTCCAGCTCATTTTACAGATGGGGAAACTGAGGTAAACAAGGTTAAATGACTTGCCCAAGGTCACATAGTCAATAAGTATCTGAGGCTACATTTGAGCTCGGGAAGATGAGTAGCTGCCCTGGTGACTTTATTAGGCTGTTGTAAAGAGTGCTTTCCTGCAGTGAGAATCCAGGAGAAATGATGTAACAAATTTGTAACGGACACAGTTAACAGTTTTACATTTCCATCTGACAATTTTTTAGCAAGAAAGGCATAGAAGAAAAGGCAGCAGATAGTGGGAGTAATCCAAGGGGGAGGCTTGGCAAGTCATGGTTAGCAACAGGAAAATGGGGCAAGGGACTCAATTGTGGAGAATAGTGAGGAGAATGAAGCCAGTGCAGGGATGACGACTCAGGAAAGAGCTATGGAGTAAAGGTACTGGAACTGATGGTGAGGACAAAAAACAGCATGCTCACATACCAGATTTTGCCATAATCCAGAGGTCCACTTCCCTAATTAGAAACACTAACATCTCCTTATCTGACAACAACCTAGTATTATTGTATGTCTCCCCATGCTTCACTCCTATCCCAAAACCTGTTCTTTGCCCTCCTTAAGACCCTCTCATTGCCTTCACTGTTTTTCCTCACCATTACACTTGCTCAGAGTTCACCTTCTTGTGACTCCAAACTCAGTACTTTGGCTATTTCAACTCTATCCTGTCCTTTGTTCTTGACTTTTTTTGCCCTCATCTCACCACTGGTCTACATTTGCCAAACCTCACCCCTGGATTAATCTTATCATTTGTCTCCTTTTCTGTTCACTGGCCATTGAACAAAGTGGAAGGAATTTCACAACTGTGCTGGCTCGGATACATTAAAAATTTATGTCACCAACCTCAACTAAACCCTTACAATACAGCAAGGCAATCCTTTTTTCACTCCCTAACTGATTCCCTGCCTCTCTGCCCACAGAAGCTATTCTGAACCTTCCTTCTTCCTCCTCCTCCTCTTCCCCATCTCAACTTTACCAAAACACTGAGGTCATTTGAAATGAGCTCTCTCTTCTCTCATTCTCTTAATCTCAAAATCCTGCCATTTCTGACAAAACGGTACTTCTTTTAGTCAAAGCCAACTCTCTATATGTCCTTGATCTTATACCCTCCTATCTTCTCCAGGAGACTGCCTCATCACTCATTCCTCTCAGGAATCTTAAGCTGCCCTTTGCTTTCTTTCCCTAAGGCCTTCAAAAACGCCCAAGTCTCCTCATCCTATTAAAAAAAAATATCCATTTGACTCCATTATCTTAAGCTATTTCTCTCTTTCTCCTCCTTTTCTTAAACTCCTTTCTCTCTCTCTCTCTCTCTCTCTCTCTCTCTCTCCTCTCTCTCTCTCTCTCTCTCTCTCTCTCTCTCTCTCATTGTCTCTACTTCTTCCCCTCTTAATTCTTTTGCAATCTGACTTCCAACCTCAACAAAAATGATTTCTCTAAAGTTACCAATGATCTTTTAATGGCCAAATCTAACAGTGTTTTTTCAGTCCTATCCTTCTTTCATCTGCTATATTTGACAAAGTTGACCATTTTCTCCTCAGCTACTATGTTTCCTGACAGTTTTCTCTGGGTTTGCCTCCTGTTTGACTGTTTTTCAATCTTCTTTGCTGGGTCATCATC